TAAGTGGATGATTGTACGATCATGGCGTCGGGCCCAGTGGTCGATGACATGTGAAAGGCTGAACCCGATTTCGCGGAACTTGCCGCATACTTCCACGCGAGGAATATGAAAATATCTGCACGAAATCAACGGCCACACTCTTTACTACATGGTCTGCGGAGATGATAACACAGCTGAATGTGCAGGTCGAGGGAAACTTAATACCGACCTCGAACTAGCCCATGATTATAGGGGCCACATTCGACAGCATATTCAAGTCGTCCGCCCAAGCCACAGCTATCTGCGACAAGATGAAAAGTAGGAACAAGGTCCTTAAGGCGCTAGCCGGAATCACTTGGAGGAAACCTTGTTGACCTCTTATAACGCGGGTGTGCAGACCAGTGTGGTCTGCGAATACAAGTGCTACGCAGTGGAAGCATATTCAGATCTGCCAGAACGCTGCCCTGAGAACTGCGACAGGATGTCTTCTCATGACACCAGTAGACCATCTACATGAGGAGGCGAAAGTCCTTCCTTTAAGTCAGCATAATCATATGCTTTCGTTGCAGTACCTACTTGGGTGTTACCATGAGAGTCATCCCAACCATCATACGGTGCATAAATCTCCACCACCCAGGCGTGTCAGGGAAGACACACACGATCTAAAGAGGGAGGTCCAATGCTACAAGAGAGAACCTCTAGATCATGAAGCCTATCAGGCAGGTCTGAGTGGCATTCATACCGATGCAGAGACTATGGAATACTTGAAAAGACTGAAAGAGGTGTCAGATTATTATCGGACTCCTATTGGTCGACTGATTTCTACGTTACCAAGCGTTTTAAAGATTATTATTATTAAAAAGTAAAAAGAATTAATAATACTTAGGTGACTTAATAAAAAAAACAGTCCTAATTCAAGAACAATTACTGAAGAAGGAAAATGACTTAAAAATAACAAGAAGACATTCATAGCCGGAACCACAACGAAGTTACTTTTCCAAATAACAAGAAGCTGCAACAACAACGAAGTTACATTTCCAAAAAACAAGAAGCTGCAACAACAACGAAGTTATATTTCCAAATAACAAGATGATGAGTTCAATTAACATTTTACTTTTGTAGGTCATATTCTAATTATAATTATTATTTCTATTATACTTATCATTATCATATCAAAAAAGCGAAATCTCATTTCGTACTCTGTAAAATTCCCAAAATTTCGCGTTTTTTTTTCAAAAAAAAAAAAAAAAAAATTATGGCTAACCCTAATATCATAAGACCTCTTGTCCTTAACGCTTCTATCCCCAATCCAAATACAGCGGTACAAATTACAACAATGTAGGAATTTAGTTCAGGCAATTATAAATCCTAATAATGACCTTAACTACGGGACAGACCAAAACATTGACGACAGATATAGGAATGACCTAAGTGATCTAGACAAAATGCCAGATATCGTCAGAAGTCTTAGAGATTTCTCCGGTAATACCATGGAATTTAATTCCTGGAAGAAAAGTGTGGACCGTGTTTTACAAATTTACGATTCGTGCAAAGGCACTCCTAAGTATTACGGAATTCTAAGCGTTATCCCTAACAAAATAAGAGTCAACGCTGACATCGCTTTAGAATCTTACAATACTCCTTTAATCAATTCATACAAGAAATGTAAACTACCAAAACAGACCTCGTCTTTTTAATCAACAACAATTTAATAACAAAAGACCTCCGTCGTTAAGCTAAACAACAACGTAATTTTCACATATAAAGTACACTAGATACTTCTACTATACCGAATTTTCAGGACGAACAGGCTGTAAATTATAACTAAAATGATTATGAGCAATTAATTCAAAATCAAGGAATTGACGAGTACGATGAATCCTATGATAAAGATCAACAAGACGAAATGTCCACTCTAAATTTCACTGATATCCATTTTTTAGGCTAACACATTCTTCGCTCCCATATTTTAAATGCAAAGCGAAGAATGGCAAAATTTTAAAAATTCGTATAGATACTGGATCCAATAAAAATTTTATCCAACCACGTTTTGTTAATAATCCTATCAAAAACGAAAACATCTTTTATGCAAATTCAGTCTCTGGAGATATCAAAATCACACACCACACATTCACAAACTTATTCAATTTACACAACCACCCTATAAAATTTTATATCCTACCTTCCTTGAAATCCTTTCATGGCATTCTTGCCATGATAGCTTAAAAGAATTAAATGCAATTATCCATATTAAAGAAAAATATTTGTTAATAAATAATAGAACTAAGATAAAAATTCATCAACACATTTCCCAGTCGGTTAACAAAATGGAATTCAGAACCAATCATATGAATGAAACTCAAAAATCTCTGTTAGATCAAATTATAAAAGAGCATCCTAACCTTTTCACAGATCCTAACTGTTACCGATAGGTATCCCATCCAGAAATCAATGAAGTTCTCGCAAATTTGGGTAAAAACAAGTACTTCACAATTGTTGACTTAAAGAGTGGTTTCCACCAGACACCTTTAAGAGAATGCGACGTAGAAAAACTTTTTCATAAATCACGGCAAATTTGAGTTTGTACCACTCCCATTCGGATTGAAAAATGCTCCTTCAATCATTCAACCTACTCTCGACGATGTCTTGAGAGAGCACATTGGAAAAATATGCTACGTCTATATAGACGATATTGTCATCTTTTCAAAAAATGAGAAAGATCATTTCGAAAACCTCAGAAAAATATTCCAAACACTAGAATTGGCAAAATTCAAACTTCAATTAGATAAATGCGAATTTCTCAAAACAGAGGTTGAATCTCTAGGCTTTATTGTAGGAGCTGAAGGAATCAAAGCAAACCAAAATAAAATAGAAGCAATAGCCAATATAGCACCACCTAAAACCCTGAAAGATCTGAGAAGTTTTCTAGGGATGTTAGGTTATTATATAGGCGCAGTACTTTCGCAAAACAGAAAGCCTATTACATTTCTCTCAAGAACGCTCAGCAAAACCGAGGAAAATTACGCTACCAATGAAAAAGAAATGTTAGCGATAATTTGGGCCCTCAATTCATTGAGAAATTATCTGTACGGTAGCAGGAAAGTAAACATTTATACAGACCATCAACCTCTAACGTATGCTCTCAGCAGTAAAAACACAAACAGCAAAATGAAAAGATGGAAGTCCATCTTAGAAGAATATAACTACGAACTTAAATATCAGCCAGGACTAACAAATGTGGTTGCAGATTTGCTATCCAGACCACCACAGATAAATTATATGACATCAACACAACATAGCGATGAAAGTTCGTCAGATAATATGACCCCCGCAATAGAATGTCCTATTAATGTCTTTAAGAATCAACTTCATATTTTAGTAAGTAACGAAAACAGTTACAAATTCGAAACTCCATTCCCAACCTACCATAGGCACATTATCAAAAAAACCCTTTTACACAAAAGACAACTTAATATTAATTTAAAAAAAAATTCTTAACCCCAGCGTCACTAACGGTTTATTTACAACCGTAACAATAATGTGGGTAAATCAAGAATTCTATCCCGAACATTTCTAAAACTTCAAAATAAGATTCACTCAGTCCCAAGTAGAAGAAATCGTAAATGAAACAGAGCAAGAAGAAGTTTTGATTAAAGAACATCGAAGAGCTCATAGAAATGCCAACGAAAACAAAAATCAAGTAATACAGAAGTACTACTTCCCACAAAATGATGGAAAAAGACAAAAGGATAGTGAAAAATTGTCAGACCTGTAAAGAACAAAAGTATGATCGTAGACCTCACAAACCGCAATTCCAACCTACACCAATTCCGAAAAATCAAGGAGAGATTGTTCATATCGATATCTATTCGACTGAAGGAAACCTAGTACTTACAGCATTATACAAATTCTCCAAATACGCTTTAGCAAAAATTTTAAAATCAAAGGGAGTTGAAGGTATTAGAGGACCATTGAAAGAAATAATTTTAGCATTTGGCATCCCCAAGTCCATAGTCTTAGATAATGAGAGACCACTAAATTCCGTAACGATAAACTTCCTACTTAAAGATCAATTGGGCATACAAACCTACACAACACCCCCTTACGCTAGTACCGTCAACGGTCAAGTAGAGAGACTTCACTCTACTCTTTCAGAGATGATGAGATGTCTTAAACCAGACGAAGTTCACAATTCATTTCATGACTTACTCACCAAAACACTATACGAATATAATAGATCAATTCACTCTTCCACTGGTAAAAAACCGATAGACATATTTTTTAATAAAAACTTTAATAATGACCCGGAGAAAGCAATTTTGGAAAAACAGGAAATAATAAATCGCTAGACAGAAAAACAGAAACAAGACCTTGACTACCATAATAAAAATAGGCAAGTATCCAAAACTTATTTAACAGGAGAAATCATTTTCGTTAAAGTTAATAAGAGATTAGGTTCAAAATTAACCCTGAAATATAAAAAGCAAACAGTCAAAGAAGACCGAAATACAACTGTATTAACAACATCAGAAAGAATTGTTTACAAAAGCAACATTAAAAGATGATAACTTACCTTTTCAGATTATTTTTATCCTATGCATCGATGGAAATCCAAATCATGGATTACACGTCATCCTACGTTGTCACCAACAAAGGTGACAGCAAAAATTCAGCAAGGAACCTTTACTTTTATTCACTCAATAGATTTGGTACAATACGCAAAATCCATGTCCCAAACCCACACCTTCATCCAACAAAACGTTCCAAATAGCCATAACCTATACCCCATCCTCAATCACGAACTCACCCAAATTAACAACATCCTAGAAAATCTAACGCCCGTCATAAGAAACAAAAGAGCAATAAATACTTTGGGAACAATTTGGAAGTATGTCGCAGGATCACCGGATCATGACGACTTTGAAATAATAACTAATAATGTTTACGAATTTGTCCTTTTTTGTTATTTTCCAGGAATAAACCTAAACTCGGCTGGCTCCCAAATGACAAGACTGGCAGGATTTCGGCAAAATAAAAAGCTGCGTTTATTTGGTTTGTTTGTTTACAAATAGTGAGTTTAGTTGTCGTTGTTTATTCTCTGTAAGAATTTTAAAAATTTAACAAAAATTAAGTTTACAAAAAAAAATAAAAATATTTAATTTAAAAACAATAAAAATTAACACGACTTACTTATTTTTGGGTTCTAACAAAAAAGGGAATAAACAATGGCCATAAAGGCCTATTTATATAAAAAGTGACATTAAGCAAAACAACAAAAATAAACAAAATGAAGATGTTGGCTTAAATTTAGTTTCGTCTCCCTCTTCGCTTGGGATATTTCGGCCATTTATAACAGTGGTATTTCAAATTTGGCTACACTTTTTTAGCTTTGGTAATTGCAGGGTTACCATCTCCAACATCCCCACCCCCGTGAACTGACCCAGAGGGGGAGGCTTCACCAACTCCGTCTCCAGCCGCTTCCACGTCCAAAATGGCAAGTTTGGACACAGGTCTGTGGTATACACCGGCACTCGTTCTCACCTTGGCTGATCGTGCCACTCCGTCTTTGCCCCTGAATACTTCGATGACTCGTCCACGTCTCCATTGCCCGTTTCAGCCTACGATATTTTGAAAATCTATTAATATCTGGAATACAAAAACATACCTGGCAAGCCACCAAAACTTTGTATTTGTTTCTTAGCTCTGTTTTGCTGTGATCCACACATGTTCCAATTTGTTCCTCGTCCGGCCAATACTTCTCTTCTTTTCTCAGGAATTCTGGCCCATTTTTCCAACGTCCTTCTGGCTGGTACTTCTTGGGTCCTTTAGCACGGGTCCCTTCGTCAGCTGGGTTTTCCGCTCCTGGACACCACCGCCACTGCTCCATACGGCTGCTTTCCAGAATCTCCGACACTCTATTTGCCACATATTGTTTGTATGTACGGTGTTCTGAACGGATCCAACTTATCACTGTTGAGGAATCTGACCAAAAATAAATGTTATTAATATTCTTCAAATGATTTTCCAAAAATTTTTCCTTCATTCGCACTCCAATTACTGCTGCTTGCAACTCAAGCTTAGGTATAGTATGGTATCTTGTTGGGGCACAGCTCGTCTTGCCCATAACGAACACAACACTTACACCACAATTTGTTACTATACGCCAGTATGCCACAGCAGCCATTGCATCTTCACTGGCATCCACAAACACATGCAAATCTACTATACCATTAAAAAATCCATTACTGTAACACCTCGGAACTTTGAAATCCTTTAATTTAGGCAATTCCTCCAGCCAGGTCTTCCAGCGGCTATAAATCGCGGACGGCAACTCCTCGTCCCACTTTATACCACTTTTCCACACATTTTGCATAATTATCTTCGACGTCACCATAAAATCACCAAGAAACCCGAATGGATCGAATACGGACATATTTAAAGACAACATTTCGCGTTTCGTTGGCACTTTTTGCAATTTCAATATCTTTTCATCCACTTTGTGTAATTTTAATTCAAAACAAAAAACATCTGATTTTGGCAGCCAATGAATTCCGAGTACCCGTTCCATTCCATCATCAAAAATTGAGTTGCCATCACTTTCATCAGAAATAGGGTTGCCAAACATACGTTGTAAAACAAGGGAATTAGACTTGATGTTGCGGAGATTAAATCCACCCTCTTTGTGAATTTTTATGACATCACGTACCACTTCAACTGCCTCACCTTCAGTCTGGAAACAGTCGACGTAATCGTCTACGTAATGACGATCGATGATTCCTTGTACTGCTCTTGGCGACTCATTTATAAACCTTCGGGCATTAAGGTTTTTTACATATTGGGCTATGGTGGGCGAACAAGTGGCTCCAAAAATCATCCGTTCCATTACATAAGTTTCTAAGGGTTGACTGGGATCCCCATTTCTCCATAGAAATCGCTGACTGTCCTGATCTTCTTTGGCGATTACAATTTGGTGGAACATCTCTTGTATATCTCCGCACACGGCTACAGGAAATTCCCTGAATTTAAAAAGAATAGAGATTAAAGAGTTATTTATGTCAGGTCCAGGTAATAAGGCTTTATTTAATGAAAATTGTTGAACTTCAGCAGCAGCATCGAAGACGATACGAATTCCGTCTTTGTTGGGATTTTTAACGCCAAATTGTGGCAAATAAAACGTTCGGTCGCTCCTTCTTTCTCGTTCTGCTACTGAAAGTTTACGGCAATATCCTTTTTCCTCGTAGTCTCTTATCTTTTTGCAATATTGAGCTGCATATACACTGTCCTTTGCCATTTTTCGTTCCACACACTGCAATCGGTTGTACGACAAATTGTACGATTCTGGAATTGGAGAAAAATGTTCTTTCCACAAAAGCGGACACTGATATCGCCCATCGATTCTTTTCGTGTTTTCTCTCAATATTTTTAACGCTCGTTCATCATCTATGGACAGAATTGGTGTCACATTTACCTTGGTACCCAATGTCTCCACGTCGAAATATTGCCGCATCATGGTATGCATTTCCTTAAGCAAGTCACAATTTTCTTCCTCGAAACGTTTCCTAACGTGTAAAGCCCGCTTAAGATTGGAACTCTTCTCGCCTGGGATCGGTCCATAAATTACGGCGCCTAATCTCGTTAGGGTAATGATTGGTCCAACATCGGTCATCATACGAGGAGCTTCCAAGGGAACTGTTAAAAATGAATGTTGCAAGCTTAATATTAGTTTAGGTTGAACATTCGAATAATCCCGGAATGGGATTTCGGCGATTTGGTCGATTTCACGGGATTTAATTAAATGAGCCAGATGGCAACTCTGTATTGGCAATGACAGATTGGACGAAATGTAAACATTGGTTATCGGGTACTTGTTGTTGTACTCACCGACACCACTAATTGTCAAATTAATTTTTTCTGTTTTTTCGTTTATGTTTTGGTTATTAAGCCACTGAATTTTTAAAATCTCCGGTTTCCCGTGTACTCCGAGTTCGCGAGCAACGTCCTCGTCCAGCATGGACACATTGGCGCCGTCGTCAATGAACGCGTACGTCGTTATTTGTTTGTGTGTTCCGTATAGCGTCACGGGCAAAATCTGGAACAGTACGTTTTCGGTGTAGTGGGCGGCATGACAATTTCTTCGTTGTGTTTGAGACGGCGGTGCGTCGGGAAGAGATGGGGTGTTCGTTCGTGGCTCCAAATCGTGTGTGGGTAATGTTCGGTTCGGTTCCTGGGATGGCGTCGCGAGTGTTTTGTGCAACAATTGGTGGTGTGATTTTTGGCAATCATTTATGCCACAACGACGCTTATAGTGGCAATTTTTAAGTTGGTGGCCTCTCTTTAAGCAACAAAAACAAGTTTTAATTTGTTTAATTTTATTCCATCGGTCATCGATGGTCATTTTTAAAAAGTGTGGACAGATTTTTATATTGTTGCACTCTCCCTGACAAATTGGACAGCTCGAACTGACAGCGACATATGCGTATTTTTTTTGTTGTGTTTGTGTGTGTCGGCGATTGGACGAGGTTGCTGAAATTGGCTGTGTGTCGTGGACCATATGTGCGAGACGGCGTAATATTCCCAACCAATCGCTGAAATCAACTATAGTGGCGGGGTGCTGGAGTTGCAGACATTTTTCGGCCCATTGCATTTGGCGGTTTATCGGCAGTTTGGACACTAGCTCACTCAGCAACGATGGATTGGATAGATGGTGTTCACCCTTGGCGTTTTTTAGGAAAGTGGCCATATTGGAGAGTTTGTTGGCAAAGTTGACAAGTGCATCCAAATTATCATCTGCCAGCGGTGGAATGGCTCGGACTTTTTCTACTTGGCTTCGGATAAGTTGCTCTGGTCGACCAAATGTTTCCTGCAGAATTTCCAAAATGGCGCTGACGTTGGCAGAACTCCCCAACATGGATTCCACTGTTTCCCTTGCTCGGCCCTTCAATGCGTCTCTCAAACGCATGATGTTATGGAGATTGGAGTAACCAAATTCGGTTGTGGTGCTCTCGTAGGCTTCGAAAAATGCCTGCCACTCCTCTGGAAGACCTGAAAAAATAGGCAAGGGATAAATTTTTTTATGTGCATTTCCGTTGGAGTTATTTGAAAGTGAATTTGGAAAAGACTCATCTGTGTTGATAGACAATGGCGGCAGTTGATGCACTTGAGTCTGCAACTGTTGACTTGTTGTTGGCGGTACTGTTTGTGGTGGCAAAACTACTGAATGTAATGGCAGATTCAATGGCGGCTGTGGTGGCAGACTCAATGGCGGCTGTGGTGGCAGATTCAATGGCGGCTGTGGTGGCAGATTCCTTTGTGGCTGTTGCGGCGTATTCAATGGCGGTTGTTGTGTCGTTTGATTTGAGAAAATTGATGGTTGTGACGTCAGTGTAGGCAATGCTTGCTGCGACATTGTGTTTTGCAAAGAAGCAAACTGCTGTGACGTATTTAATAGTTGTGCTTGCATTTTTGCTTGTGCTGCTAAAAATTCGTCTTGCATTGCTTTCATCTGACGTTGCATCTGTTCCATTTCAAATTTCATAAGTTTTCTCATCTCGGCTAATTCATTTGCAGGATTTGGTGTTTTGGCTGGTGTATTTGAAGGCGGTTTTTGGAGCTGTAACTGAGAAGAAGAAGAAGAAGATTTAGAAGTATTGGCGGGCGGTGTATTGACGGCTGCGGCTGCAGCTGGCATTTGTTGCTGTTTTTGGTGGCTGCTGGTAGGCGTATCTCCTGTTGGTGAGCGAACGACAGACATATCGTAAGTGTCAGGGTTATATCGGGCTGGCGGAATTCCTTGAGTGCTGCGTCCACTGGTTCTTCTGGTTAGATCTTGGTTTTGTGGCATAAAACCGGCAGAATTTCTTGAATACAGGTAAGAATTATTTTTTTTTTTTGTGACTTAAAGTGGTGACAGCTGTTTTTAAAAAATGTCCGTCCGTTTTAATGAACAGCAACAATAAACACAAATTCAACAAGACAATTGACGACAGAAATTAAATTGACATAAAACAAATAAACAAAGAATAAAGAATAAAGAATAAAGAATAAAGTTGTCCTTTTTTGTTATTTTCCAGGAATAAACCTAAACTCGGCTGGCTCCCAAATGACAAGACTGGCAGGATTTCGGCAAAATAAAAAGCTGCGTTTATTTGGTTTGTTTGTTTACAAATAGTGAGTTTAGTTGTCGTTGTTTATTCTCTGTAAGAATTTTAAAAATTTAACAAAAATTAAGTTTACAAAAAAAAATAAAAATATTTAATTTAAAAACAATAAAAATTAACACGACTTACTTATTTTTGGGTTCTAACAAAAAAGGGAATAAACAATGGCCATAAAGGCCTATTTATATAAAAAGTGACATTAAGCAAAACAACAAAAATAAACAAAATGAAGATGTTGGCTTAAATTTAGTTTCGTCTCCCTCTTCGCTTGGGATATTTCGGCCATTTATAACAGTGGTATTTCAAATTTGGCTACACTTTTTTAGCTTTGGTAATTGCAGGGTTACCATCTCCAACAGAATTGAATAAAAACAGCAATAAACAGTTTTATGTAAATGAAGCTTTTAATAAAAGAATAAATAACTTAACCGAAATTATTAAAAAAATGTCAAATTTTGTAAGAAAAAGTGTTTGTTTAGAAAATGAAATAGCTATTGATTTTCAAAATACAATAAGATTAGTCAAAGAAGAATTAATAAATATCGTCAGTGGAATAGAATGGGCGAAAATTGGCATCATAAACCCATTAATACTGAATAAGAAAGAAACCGAAGTAGCTTTGAAAAAAATTGAAGAAGAAAATATTCCCTTTGTAAATCCAGAAGAGGCACTTCAATTTGCCAAAGTATCAATTTTGCATAACAATAATAATAATAAAATATTTTATATGGTTAAAGTACCATTAGCAAACAAAATGTATGAAAATGTAATCTTAAGACCAGTAAAAAAGGAAAAATATGTAATTAAACTTGAATTCCTATGAAATTTTAAAAAATGAAAAAACAATTTATGCTATTAAAGAAAAATGTGAAACATATAACGATATTACAATTTGCAAAGAAAATCAAATAATTGATATAACAAAAAATACTTGTATCTTCAATATTATTAATAATAAAAAATCTTCCTGTGTAACGAGCAATAATCAACACATTTCACCAATTGAAGAGATTGAATGTGGCGTGATTTTGTTAAATGGTTTTAATGGATCCTTTAACATAGATGAAACATATCGATATTTATCGGGAACTTTTGTCATTAAATTTCATAACAGCACTGTAACTGCTTTTGAAATTGACCATATCAATCTATTATCACTCGAAGCTCTTAATGAACTTCAAATTAATAATACCGAAACAATCTCAACTATCCAAAAACACCTTCAGATTGGAAGTTTTTCAATATCCACTATCCTTTTCCTAGTTTTCATATTAATTGCATGTCGGAATTTTTACTTCAAAAGCGCCGGAAATATAGTAATTTGGAAATCCCAAATCCCTTTGAATCAACTCAAAATCCAATTTGTTTACAAAATATTTCCGATCCACAAAATTTGAGAGAGCTTGAAGCTCCAGTCAAACCTCTTAGATTGCACAATATCCCATTTTTCTGAATGATTGGGGACAATCAAATAAAGAAGGGAGGAGTTAATAATAATAATGTTTAAATAATACTTTCCCACCAAATTAATCTGCTATGTCTGCAGTTTTGACTCCAATAGCCAATGAACTCTTACATGCTCTTTATTCTTTCGACACTCGATATGTTTCCGCTATTAACATGCGCAGCTATTTTTTTGCTGACGCAATGTCTGCAAAATTAGGCATTGCAAGTGTTCTGATTAATGCGTCGCAAAAGCATAAATAATAAAATATTTAAGTTAAGGAGTAGCAGTATCCAACAGTAGTTGATTGATAACGGACTAAAGAGAACATGGTTCTCTCCGCAATATCAATAATAATAATAATAAAAACAGGACTATAGAAAACATAGTTCTCTGCGCAATAATAATAATAATAAAAACAGGACTATAGAGAACATAGTTCTCTCCGCAAAAATATTAAAAATAAAAAATAAAATACAACAAATCAAAAAGTGATTTTCATTAAAAAAAAAATAAAATAAACAAAAAAAAATAGCACCAGGATACCCAGCTAACAATAGCCTCGGAAAAAGACATCTTCAGGCATTGAAGACGAATCTTAAAGCGATGGAAAAACGATATGTTGCAATTTCTTGGTTGACAGCAGTGTTGTAGTTTCACGTTCTGTGAAGCAAAGAATGAAAACAGAGCTATAATTTCACGCCGAAGTCACGATTGATCTATTGATCTGTTTTAGCCTTTACACGTCTAACATATTACATTATTGTTTCTGACTTATCATTATCTTTCTTTTAATACATGTAGTTTGTTTTTTAAATTAAAAGTGTTTTAGTTCTACTGCACAACAAGTATATGTTTCCAAAATAGTAAATCCAGTCCACTATTTGGAAATGCCATCAAATTATTTTTTAATGTAAAAAGGTAGAAACAAATAACAGAAAATTTGGCAAACTATTCCAGGTTCGGTAAACTCGAACTAGAAATTAATGCGGAAAAAACAACCTCTCTTTCAAATTGAAACCAAAACATATTTAAATAAAGTATTCTACATTTGCAATTTTAAGAAACATAAAATATACGACTATGTATATTACCTAATATGGTGTCGCTGTTCCTTAACCGCGAACAAACTTTCCGCGCCATTGCCGTTTTGTTAAGTATAACAGCGATTATTATACAAAAAATAAGTTCACATGGGCCTGTTGTGAAATTTCTAAAAAAGTATGTACCTATTGTATATCGTCAAATCAAGTCAAATCAGATGGGGTTTCCTGTCACCTGTAATAATTATACCATGTGCATCAACAACGAAAGGGACAGGCGCATTCTAACGTTCCTTACAGTGCGTTTACATACAAAATCTCTACCCCGATCAACCCTGATATTTATTATCCGGGTTAACCCAGGTAGATATTTCTTATGTAATATGTACTTTTAGCGCAAAAGCTTCTAAATTATAATGCTGCGATGACTTATGTGGCGTTTCCACTACACTTGATTCGCTCTCTATTCTTTGTTCGACCCTTAACTATGAAAAAACTACTTAATTCTTCACACAAAATTTCCTGAGCGAACACTCATATTTGTACGTTGTTCAAATCAAATCACTCTCAGAACAACGAAAAAATATGTCCCATCCCTAACAAATGAGAGCATTTATCGAAAAAATAAATTATGGCATTTAAAAATTAAAACTAGAAAAATTTAATGAAATTTTAAAAATTTTTGGGAAGACTGAAAATTATGAATGAAAACTACAATATTGAATGGCGTATGTACATTCAAACGAAAGTACATTTTGTTTTCTCTTTCATTCGAGGTACGCATTTTGTCCACGAGTTGAAATTTCCACAGAAAACTGCAAACAAAAGAGCAATATTTTCAAAATGTTTCTATCGGCAAAAAAAATGTTTGACAAGTGTCTCTCCAGCAGAATTAAAAAATGGAAAAACACTAAAATGTGTTCAAAATGTCAACATTTACACAAAAAGTTGAAATCGTGAACGAAAATTGTAAAATTAATGATATAATAAATCTTTGGGAGGAAAACAATAATTTCTTCTATTCATATTAGTGAGAATTTCATGTATTTTCGTATAAATTCCCATTAAAATCAACAAACAAAATTTTTGAAAAAAGGATTTATTTTACTATGAATTGCGAATCGTGCCGTATGAACGGGTTAATTCGTGTTCGGTTTCCAATGGAAACATGCTATTAAGCCAGTTAACAAAGCGTTTTATGTATTCTTACCTTAATTGAATGTAACAAGAATAGAAGAATACAGGTAGATGCAACAAAGCTTGGGAACATTAATATGTCAACAATTTGTAAATGTTTTTTTTTTTTTTTAATGAGTAGATTTTTATATGTTTTCTTATACCATGCCAATCGGAGGTTGTTATGATATGCATTTTTACAAAATTCAATCATTTTTTATTCAAAATATTTAATTCCAAAATTGGTTTGAGAGTTCATTGTGTAACGGGGTTTTGTCGTCGGCTTGGATACGCTAAGTCATGTCCAGGGTCGGCATAAGGACACACAAACCCTTACGAACATAAAACAATTTATTTTTTCATCTACGGGCTAAAATGAGTATTTATTGATATAAGTATAAGTAAATTGTACTTCAAATGAAATGCGACAAGTTGATAATTGCAGATGGAAGCGGTCGGAAATGACGGGGTGTGAGGTTCAGGTTCTGCGATGGTCGGAAAGACGACGATGATGATGTGTCTCGTTGAATTCGGCCGATGATTGGGAAACACGTTATATTATTTGACGAACTTTCATCGCTATGTTGTGTCATAGAATTTATCTGTGGTGGTCTGCAACCACACTTGTTCGGCCTGGCTGATATTTAAGTTCGTAGTTATATTGTTCTAAGATGGACTTCCGTCTTTTCATTTAGCTGTTTGTGTTTTTACTGCTGAGAGCATACGTTAAAGGTTGATGGTCTATATAGATGTTTACTTTCCTGCTACCGTACACATAATTTCTCAATGAATTGAGGGCTCAAATTATCGCTACCATTTCTTTTTCATTGAGCGTTCTTGAGAGAAATGTAATAGGCTTTCTGTTTTGCGAACGTACTGCGCCTATTGCATAATCAGAGGCATGTGTTGTCAGATCGAAGCCTTTTTCAAAATCAGGATGAGTTAAAATGACATCGTCAGAGAAAAGTGAATTTTTCAATTTCTGGAATGCGTCTAAAGCATTTTGATCTGAAGAAATCTT